ACATCCTGCTAGAGTGGCCTCTCAACTCAACACAAGGCCAACTACCAAGAGAAAACCTGTCCCTCCACACCCTGGTTGTAGCTAGAGGTCTGACTCCAGCTCCCAGAGAGCAGTATAAATGGCTACAGAGGACTTGCTCTTAAAACCCAAATATCTTCTATAGAGCCCATGCCAATGCTGGGCCCCTGCACTTTTAGCAGGTGAAAATAAGGGTAAGTGCTAAAGAGTTTCAGAAAAACTCCTTTCTTGGGCATCACACACAGAGGTCAACTAATTCTCACCAGTTCTCCAACGACACACAGTTTATTCCAGTTCTTCAGCTGCAATACAAGAACCTCGAACAGGTCTATTCATGAGGTTGGAGGGTTTGCAAGTCACCCCTCCCCCTCCAAGTATAGGTGAATGCGTTGGTGAGAATCTTGATAGGAAGACTTTCCATACTTTCATCACATCTGCACTAGCCTTAGGTCCTTAAAATGGTTTAGAACCAGGTCCTGAAAAATATGAACACTTGACCTCAAGCCCATGACAATATGCCACAATGACTCATTTGCAAACTTGCGCCCAGCGAAATCCAGACAAATGTCTACAGTCAAATGATCTCTGTGTCCAAAACGACAGGAGGCTGATGGATATCCCAACAATGGCAAGATGCAGAGATGACCCCAAAGTGGGGGAATGAGCAACTGATTCATACTTATGCTCTCACAGCCTGAAGAGCCCTGAAAAATGACCCCATCAGGCCTTGGTGCACTCAGTCTTCAGGTGGTGTCAACATATTTTCACGACACCACTGTTATAATTTGTTGCAGTTGAGGTAAGGCTATAATAATATTATTATTCAGTAATATTAACAGGCATTTATTAGATATGTCTTCAGGGGCAGAGACTAGCTCTAATCCCCCAATAACCTCATGCGGTAACTTTATCCCCATCAGAGGGATAGAGGTGCACTCGGTTCACAAGGGGCAAGGCAGGGTTCCCGTGCTGACCCAAAGCACTGCCTCACCATCCCTCCCTCTCTGCTCATTTACACAGAGCCCACCAAACACAACATCTTGACCAGGGGACCCCTAAATGCTTTAGGGTGTCACCATTTGTTGTAGTTGACATTGCTCGATTTCTACCTAAATATACCCGTTAGTCCAACCCTTTGACTTCAAAATCATATTAACTAAATTCCACTCCTTGCAACCATTTCACGTCAACAGCGTTCACACTCCCCAAGCGTGAGCTGCAAATGAACTAAAAGTGAAGCTTGTGAGAGCTCCGGTCACTGGAGAGCTCGGGTCTGCTCTCTCCACCCGTCGGGGCTTCCTAAGTGTGGGGCTCACCCACCTCCGTGAGCCCACGCCTGGCGGACTGCGGCCCAATAAACACCTAGGAAATGCGTGTTGACTTTCCAAAAATTGGGAATCTAGGGAGCAGCATGGAATTTCAATGCAGGGGTGGTTCTATTACCCGCAAGGTCCTGATTTCTTCCTAGACGGCAGCTCAGTGCCTGGCTCTGGTTCCTGGTTTCAGGAATTTCTTCATCTTCGACTCTGCCTCCCGCACCTCTCTCCCACCACACACTGCCACTGGCACTATGGGCATCTGCTCATGCGCTCCGAGCCCTGAATTCTTGTCTAGTGAAAAGGAAAATATCAGTGGGAAGAAACAAGGGAGAGAAGGAAGGCGGGAGAGAAGAAAGAACAGAGGACGGCGCTGGAGGACGGCGGGACAGCTGTGCTCCATCTGGGTGGCGGAGGCAGCTACGAACAACCCAACCTTCCCGGTTACATTCGCCTATGCTGACACGTTTTACCCACACGCGGATTTATCTTTCTAGTTTATAAAGTCTTTCATTTGAATGTTTTTGTAGTTTTCCAACATTAAGCAAGAAAAAGTCTCAATGGGAGCTGCTGGATTCCATCTCAGGGTAAACAAAAGCCCCCTCCTGGAACGAGGGCCTTGAGACCGGCTCCGCTGAGGGCCAGGACCCCACGATGTTTACCAGTCAAGGTGAGCGGGTTTCAGTACGTTTGCCTAGGACGGCAGCTTGTCACGACCAGCAGCGCGACTGCTGCTCCGTTTTCGTGGGGTCTTCCGGGGGCCTGCCCTGGAAGCAGCGCAGACCTCGCCGGGGACGCAGCTCCCCGTTTCTAGTCCAGGACAGAACCGAGAGCAGAGAGGACAGCGTCGCAGGGAATGCAGAGAAGCCTACGCCAGGCAAAGCCATCAGGGGTCTAGAACCAGCATGGGGGGGGGTGACGGCAGGTCTAGAACCAGCATGGGGGGATGGCGGGTCTAGAGCCAGCACAGCAGGGACGGAGCACAGAATCAGGACCTGGGACCCAGACGCGAGGCTGTGCCCTGCCCCTATAGGCAGATGAGGTCTTAGGAAAGCTTCATTTCTCTGCATTTTAATCTCTTCAGCAATAGAATCAGGGGATTGGACAATGTTTCTTCCAGCACAAATCCTGCACGGCACAAATATGTTTAAATACTCAACTGTACCAACGGTGTTTGCCCACCAGCCCTCCCCTTGCCTTGCCAGCGACTGAGCACTCTCTCCACCAGATGTGGGAGCCTCCACTTCCCTGGACAATGGTCCCCCTTGTCTTCAAGGTGAGGAGTCCGAGTGGCTGTACCCAAAGCAGCCTCAACCTGATATGAGTAAGTCACTTGGCAGTTACTCTCAGTCAACCACAGTCTAAAATACTATATGAAAAACTCCAGAAATAAAGAATTCCTAAGTTTTAAATTGCAGGCCATTCTGCGAGTTGTGATGAAATCTTATGCTGTCCCCTCCATCCAGCCCGGGACACGAGTCACCCCTTCGTCCAGCTTCTCCACCCCATACGCTCCCCGCCTGTATCAGTCACTTAGCAGCCTCTGGGTTCTCAGGTTGACGGATGAGGCATCTCAGTGCTTATGTTCAACTCTGCCTTTTTACTTAATAATATCACATTTACATATCTTTTATTAGAGTGTATTGTTATAATTGTTTTTATTATTAGTTATTGTTGTTACTCCCACTGCACCTAATTTATAGATTAAACTTTATCACAGGCGTGCGCATACAGGAAAAACAGTGTATACGGGGCTCAGCACTACCTGTGGTTTCAGGCATCCACTGGATCTTGGAACCTAAGCCCTGTGGATACGGGGGACTACTGCACACACCAAACGGAGGAGCAGATACACGGTGCGATGAACACACAGAAGGTGCCTGGGAGTGGGATTTGGTTGCCTGGGAATATTTAATTCAATTAATTTTTTTTCTGCTTCAAGGTGTTTATTATAGGTGGCAACAGCAACTAGTCAGACAGCTTTGCCTTCTACTCAGTATCCAGATTCCTTTGCTGAGAAACTCAGAGGGTAAAATACCTGGTGAATAACTGTTGTCGCCTTTCCTAACATACCCTTCTTTCAGGACTAAATGTTCTATGTGCTTGCTGTTCTCCCAGGGTAGATGTTAAGTTGAGAAGCTTACTATACAACTATACTGAGGCCTAGTTGTACAGGCCTCAAGGTAGAGGAGTCCGAGTTGCTAAACCCAAAGCAGCGTCAGCCTGATATGAGTAAGTCACTGGCAGCAATCAGACCTGTCAACGTAGGTGATTATGATGAGGGGGAAGGCATCACGTTGTAGGCTGGGAACATTTCAGATCCTCGGCGAGGAGGGGGAGTTTTACTTCCTGGAGGGGCTGCTAGGGTGGTCCCTCTTCTCGGGAGCTCCTATGGCCCAGTCTTAAGAACAGAATCCTCTAAGGCCGTGCCGAGAGCTCGAGGCCGAGGGCTGCATTTGGGATCCTTTATGTTCCTTTCCATTCCCTCGGATCCGTCAGTACCTTCAGGCGGGACTGATTTACAGACAAGCGATTCATTTCTAAGCAGCACTATTGTGCTGTGCTGGGTAAGGGCCCTGTCCCGTCCCCACTGTGCTGTTGTTTCCTTGATGCTTCTCTTCTCTCCCCAAGCCGACCCACTTCCTCCACAGACTTCCTTTTATACCCAAGAGCTTTGCAGTCTCCTGGCCGAGACAATTTCCTTTGTTTTCTGACGTCTACCCAGATCCCTCCCCTCCTCCATCTCCAACATCTACCTACCAGGGAACAGAAAACAGACAGACACCCAGAGTAGGACTTGATGAGTTTACCATAACCGCATTGCAAGGGAGGAAAGGAAAAAAAGCTTCCCTTTAATTAGGATGTAGGACTTCCTCTGACAAGTCATAAAAGTGTTATTAATTAATTGACAACCATCCCCAACAATGGCGTTTCCAAGATCTCTACCCTGAGCTGCTGAATGGATCGCAGTCTTCATCATAAACTAGACTGGGGACAGAATTCAATTTTCCTGCTTCCTTCTTGAGGCAAAACAGGAATGAACATTAAAAGGTCTTTTCAGAAAAGTTACTAATGTGCTCTAGGCCCCACAGGATCTTTGAGACAGCCCCCAACACACGGTGCGGAGCCGTAGGAACTGCAAATCTGAACACAGAACGCAGCTCACGGACACAGCTCCGCCCCTCGCTCTCCTTTCACATCAGTAAACAGCTCTAGTCTTTAAATTTTTTTAAACTAAAATTGAACAAAAGAAAAGATAAAGGATAGCTGTGGGTGGAGGGTGTGGGGAAGCAGAATTATAGATTCAACAATAACTACCAAAGTTCCGGAGGGAAAACAAGAAATCAGCCTCTTAGGACCTCTAAGGGAGCAGAGAGAGCATTTTAAACAAGGACAGGAAACCCCCCGAAGCAGGAGTGCCAAGGACATCTTCACTCAGTATCACTGCAGCGCACCCAGTTATTCCTGTTCGCAGAGTGATTCTTTGAAAAAAAGCAACAATAAGCATTTCTTGTAGTTTCCTTTCCTGAAAGTTGGGTCCAGGAGTATTAGTACTTAGCCCACCTCAGTACAACATTAAAATGCCCAAGATTTTGTTAAGAAATGCCAGTAAGAGCAGCACTACACTGTCTGCAGTCAGAAGATTACAAGAGAAATTGTTCTTACCTCCGAACCATGATCTCGGCTCATTTAAAGGGACTGGAGAGAACATGCAGGACAAAAGACACACGTATTAAGCACTTGTGGTGTGTGTGTGTGTGTGTGTGTGTGTGTGTGTGCTTCTCCAAATACAAGCTGGTGGAAGTAGGGACCTAAAAACCACCGACGCCTTCCGCTGCCACATAATCGCAAGGAAATGACCTTACCGTTGTTGCTTTGATTAGAAACAAAAGCCTTTCAACATGAGTCAGGAGAGCAATGGGGGGAAAGCCCAACAACAACCAAACGCTTCTGCTATTGCTTTTGGCCACTTACAGCCTCTATTCTCTATATGTTTGAAGCCGTGATGAAATGCTTACTGTTTTCTAACTTCATTGCTGATACTTGGTCAGGGTTGGATAATTAATCAGAGACGGCCATGCCATCTAAGGATCCAAGCTTCAATTTCGGCTCTTTAGTCTCTACATATGCTGACCAAGATAAGGAATTTAATGAATACAATTAGAAATAATACTTAATTCAGTTTTGCTACGCATAGCCATTCATGTCAACAGCATTTACACTAGGAGAGAAACTCAGAATTCTATGGGGCAGCCTCGGTGATAGCACCAGGAGGCTGGCCTCAAACCCAAATTCTGCAGCACGACTCCACAGCCTATTTCATTATTTGCATTTAACAAAGTCATTACTATCGAAATTACTCACCAAATAGGGAATAAATAAACATACATTATACTTCAACATAAAGCAGAGAGAAAAGTATACACAATCCAGGAAAAATAGTAAATCTATTTGCTATTTTTAGAATGATTAAGTAAGAGCCTGTGACAGGTAACATGTTTCTCCCACTGTAAAAAGACCAGTCTGGAATTTTGTGCAAGTGTGTGGTATGGCTAACAATACGAGTTCTAGAGCCAGACAAGCCTGGCATTCTTGTAGCCATCTGTCCTTGGGAAAGTTACTTGGCTGCTCAGAGAATTCATTTCCTCCTTAATAAAGTGGGGATAAAAAACCCTGTCTCCTAAGGATGTTCGAGAAATGAAATGAGATAATATATGCAAAGCACAAAAAATCTGCCTGGCATATAAGTGTATACCACATGTATTTACATTAAGGGTAAGGTGCCCTCCCCCAACCGCACCCCCTAAAAACAATATCCCTCAGAAAGGAGGAAGAAGCTTTATCTTCAAGTCCTTTTAAAACTCTAACTCCCTTGAACTATAATGTACTGCCTGGGAAGACACAACAGCCTGTTACAACCTTGATGAAGACCAAGTTTGTATGCTTATACAGGCCATTTGATAGTCAGTAGAAAGGTAGCAAAACATTTAATACAGATTTAGTAATTACTGTGGGCATGTGACCTCACATTGGTAGGGGTTGGATGTTAGAATAAACAAGTTACTTAAATGTTACTTTAAAAGGCCGTGCAGTAGCTGGTTACTCTGGGAGAACGTGTATACATATCTCCAGGATGAATGGAAAGGAAGAAAAAGTCATGCAATGATATTGCAGTGAAATATCACACAGGATTCAAAAAGTGCTGTGGCTCCAAGGACTTAGGCAGAAGCAAACGTGCTGTGTTGGGGAAAGCGCCCAGGATGCTTGGAGAATGACTTTTATTTTGGGGTCAACACATGGATGCAAGTAAAGAGGCTGAAATAAGAGGGAGAGTGAAAGAGAGCGATCACTCCAATGATTAATCTACAGAATGACCTTAAATATTACAACTATTCCACTGTTTCATCTACATTCCTAAATTTTCATATATTAAATCTGCCCTAAAACATCTGTTTCAAGTCTTCGCATTGGGAAAATGGGGAATTATTTTATAGTTGGAGAAACCTTCTACTTAAAACTCAATAAACGGTGCCTTTTCTCACTGAGTTGGATAGACTACTGAAAGAACTTGTGGGACATTTCTGATTGTACGGGAAAAAATTTTTCACTGTTGAAGGACAACTACAATTTTGCTAACCAGTGTCAGAATCGGGCAATAGAAAGGGCTAACACCATAAGGCGGCCAACTTGAAGGGCCTGGTGAGGGCTGCCAGGCCAAGTGCAGAGCTGGGGCCAGGTCAGGTGATGGCTGTGGAAGCACACGAGAGGATTAAAACTAGGGGGCAGTCGAAGTGTCTGTTGTTTTTGCCTGTCCAGGGTCTGTTTCACCTTTTCCTAATCACGGGTGCCTGCTTCCCAAGGGCACTATTCAAATAACCAGGATGAGGCTAGCCCTACACCTCCATATCATGGGAGGAACAAGCAATTCAAGAATAACCAATAATGCTCTGTCCCTATACGCACTGGTTATGGGTCAGGGGAGAGGGAGTGTTTGCTCTGGAGCCACAATGCTGCGAGGACAAGAGCCTGGGGTTCCCAGGGTACTTCACACCGGACAGAAAAGTTGGAAAGACAGATCCAATGACCACCTGAATCACTATAATTTCCACTTCTGCTTAGTTTTAATTTTTATGTTTTTTGAATTTTATGAATGTTAATTTAAAATTTATTTTTTAATTACAGTTGATATTCAATATTACATTAGTTTCAGGTGCACAACCCAGTGATTATACATGTATATACCTCACAAAGTGATCACCTTGATACCATATATATACCAACTGACACCATATATAGTTGTCACAATATTATTCCTTATGCTTATGCTGTACTTTACAACTACTAATTTGTACTTTTTAATCCCTTCACTTTTTTCACCCATCTCTCCAACCTCCATCCCATCTGGCAATCATCAATTTATTCTCTGTATCTATGAGTTTATTTCTGCTTTGTTTGTATATTTATTTTGTTTTTTAGATTCCATATATAAGTGAAATCATATGGTATTTATCTTTGTCTGACTTATTTTGCTTAGCGTGATACCTTCTAGGTCCACTCATGTTGTTGCAAATGGTAAAATTTTATTTTTTTATGGCTAAGTAATATTTCATTGTATACTATATGTACCACTTCTTCTTTATCCATTTGTCTATTGATGGGCACTTAGGTTGCTTTCATATCTTGGCTATAACATAGGGGTGCATATCTCTTTTCAAATTAGTATTTTGATTTCTTCAGATAAATACTCAGAAGTGGAATTGCTGGGTCATATAGTAGTTCTATTTTTATCTTTTGAGGAACCTCCATACTGTTTTCCATAGTGACTGCAGCAATTTACAATCCTACCATTGGTGCATAAGGGTCTCCTTTTCTCCACATCCTCACCCACCTGTTAGATTTATTGATGACAGCCATTCTGACAGGTGATATTTAATTTTTTAAAATTTGTACTTCCCTGATGATTAGTGATGTTGAGCATCTTTTTATATGTCTATTGGCCATCTGTATGTCCTCTTTGCAGAAATGTCTATTCAGGTCCTCTATTTTCTAATCTAATTGTTTGATATTTTTGGTGTTAAGTTGCATAAGTTCTATATAAATTTTGGGTATTAACCCCTTATCAGATGTATAATTGGTGAATATCTTCTCCTAATCGGTAGGTTGTCTTTTCATTTTGTTGATGGTTTCCTTTAATGTGCAAAAACTTTTTAGTTTGGTGTAGTCCCATTTGTTTATTTTTTCTTTTGTTTCCCTTGCCTGAGGAGACATATCAAAAAAGAATATTGCTAAGAACAATGTCAAAGAATTTACTGTCTATGTTTTCTCCTAGGAGTTTTACGGTTTCAAGTCTTACATTTAAGTATTTAATCCATTTTGAGTTTATTCTTCTATACAGTGTAAGAAAGTGATCTAGTTTCATTTCTTTTTGCATGTATCTGCCTAGTTTTCCCCACACTGTTTACTGAAGAGATTGTCTTTACCTCATGTTATATTTTCGCCTCCTTTGTCATATGTTGATTGACTATATAGGCGTGGGTTTATATCTGGGCTCTTATTCTGTTCCATTGACTTATGTCTGTTTTTACACCAGTACCATGCTATTTTGATTACTATGGCCTTGTAGTATAGTTTGATATAAGGTAGCATGATACCTCCAACCTTGTTCTTTTTTTACCAAGATTGCTTTGGCTATTAGTGGTCTTTTGTGAGTCCATATATATTTTAGAATTATTTGTACTAGTTCTGTGAAAAATGTCTTTGGTATTTTGATAGGGATTGCATTAAATCTGTAGATTGCTTTGGGTAGCATGGAAATTTTAAGGATGTTAATTCTTCCAATCCATGAGCACACTATATCCTTCCACTTATTTGTCTCTTCTTCAGTTTTTCTTCTTCAGTGTCTTATACTTTTCTGAGAACTGGTCTTTTACCCCCTTGGTTAAATTGATCTCTAGGAATTCTGTTCTTTTTGATGCAATTATAAATGGGATTGTTTTCTTAATTTCTCTTTCTGATGGTTTGTTATAGTGTATACAATTGCAACTGATGCCCTGGCCAGGGTGGCTCAGTTGGCTGGACATCGTCCCAAGCACCAAAAGGTTGCCAGTTTGATTCTGGTCAGGACACATGCCTGGGTTGCAGGCTCGATCCCCTTAGGGGGCATGTAGGAGACAGCCGACTGATGTTTGTCTCTCACATTGATGTTTCTCTCTCTCCTCCCCTTTTCTCTTTCTAAAAATCAATAAATTAGTCTTTTAAAAAGTACAACTGATTTCTGAATATTAATTTTGTATTCTGCTACTTTACTAAATTCACTTGTTAGTTCTAATATTTTTTTTTTTTGGTAGAATCTTTAGGGTTCTCTTTATATAGTGTGTCGTCTGCAAATAATGACAGTTTTACCTCTTCCTTTCCAATTTGGAGGCCTTTTATTTCTTTTTCTTGTCTGATTTCTTTGGCTGAGACTTAAAATACTATGTTCAATAGAAGTGGTGAAAGTGAACACCTTGTCTTATTCCTGATCTTAAAGAAAACACTTTTTTAGCTTTTCCCCCTTGAGTATAGTGTTTGCGATCAGTTTGTAATATATGGCCTTTGTTTTGTTGGGGTATGTTCCCCTATTCCAATTTTGCTGAGAGTTTTCATCATAGATGGATGCTGGATTTTTTCAAATGATTTTTCTGCCTCCATTGGTATAATTATATGATTTTTATCCTTTATTTTATTTATGTGATGTATCACATTAA